AAAAGATCATATGAAGGTCAGTATACTTAAGTTTGGCTCTTCTATGCATCACGCATTTTTTAAAATAGCGTTTGAAAGTCAATAATTTCTTGATAAAGTTCATAAAACTAAAGTAAAACAGGTTGAATTTTTCAAAAGGTAAGCAGAATTAAAAAGGTCAGCAAGATGACGGCAAATTTCCTTTATACAAACTAATGAAAGACACACAGGCATCTGAACTGAAAATAGTTTAATATTTAATAATATTCGCTGGATTAAATAAGCTAAATAAACAGAAGTAAACTTTTAAGTAAACTTTTAAATTAAGTTCTCAAACTTAACTGTGCATTTACAACAATTCTCCACATATAATCGGCTTTAAATTGGTTGAAACCTACTGTATTCAAAACCCCGTCTCCAAGGGAAGAGCTTCGTAAAGAAAACATATCAACATGCAACCGTCACAGTTCTAGCTCTGATTTGAACTTCTGTGAGTTTTAAATTATACATTTATACACAAGGAGGTAAAAGAAGAGGCTGGCCGATCAACGTCATTGTGAGTTGTTTATATCGTTTTTTAATTCCAGCCCCGGCTATACCTTGTCTCGCGAGAACTTAAAATAGCAAGGCTATCTGATCTTAGTACGTTCTTATAAATTTTTTGTCTGGGTTAAAAGAGCTTTGTCGCGGGGGATTTTGTGAGTTGCCGTTTTTAGTCGAGCGACTGCTAAAATTACAACTCGACAGTCTGTCTTTTATAGACGTCGTTTTCCCAGTAAGGCTTGTTGCACGAGACGATCTCACTCCCCTTAATTCATGTGCTTCTATAACACACAAAGGAAAACTCATCAAGAGTATGTCGCGACTTTACACAGACACAGTAGCAAAGCAAGAGAAGGTATTATAGCGTTTTTAAGTTTTAAATCTAATTTCATCATAAATACAGTGCATTGGACTCTCCAAAGATATCTCAGTAGAGGCCTACTGAACTTCACAATACAGTCATGTAACTTATGCGATGATGAGATCCAAATTAGAGGTACCAAGAGCTATAATATCGCTTCGATTTACTTTCTGGTGAGAATCACCTTCGTTAGAGAATTCAGTTCCTTATATTGCAAGTCACATAATTTATCAGTGATGTTTATCAGCCCCTTGACATCAGTGCAGATGAAATTATGAAAAGAAGAATTCGGTTTAGTTTAAAACATCTCACTACTGTTTTCCGTTAAAATCACGGTTATCCCTAGGCTTTTTTGTTTGTTTGTTTGTTTGCCTTTTGTAGTATAATTCAAACAACTCCAGCACTTTTTAATTGACTCTTGTGCTGATATATTACAAGGGATTTTGACCGGTTCTTTACCTGTCCTCTTTTCGTTTCTTAAATGACCCGGAATGATCAGGTGATTCTAATTAAACTTTTTTATCATCATCATTATTATTATTTTTGTTATGTTTTTTGTCCTCTCTCTTAGCATGAAGTTAGGAGAATAGGTTCGACAATTAAGCCTGTTCAGAAGTTTAACCTTTCCTATCTTGGAGAATTAAGATTATGTCTTTAAATACAACAGCATACATATTGTAGCTCCTACATAGAAGATGTCTTCAATTCAATTCCTTCAAGTTTCTAGAAGAGTTCACTATTCTAGGTAGTCGCTTCCTTTCCCAAAAATAAGTCCGAATGTCGAGACATAGCTTGCTTAGTAAAAGCGCTTTGATCTCCAATCTCGTCGTAATAGCCTGAATTAGCCACAAAGGGTATTACTGCAAAACGATATGAACTAAGTAAGAACAATAAACAAGACCATTGGCGAACACCTTCCGGTTTCTTCCGCACTGCCTGATGCTTCTTGTAAAGCTTGTACGAAATATTTTCTAAGCTATCAATTAGTACTTCAGGAGCCATGCATTACTTCTCTCGGACTTTCTCATTTTCGCAAAAGAGCGTCATAAACAACGACCCTGAATGTTATACGAAATCACATTTTGGGGCTCCCTTTAATCAGGCAGGGAGATAGGTATCTCCACCGTATGTGAATTTATAACAGAAGAATTCTCGTCTTTTTTGTTGTTGTTGTTGTTGTTTGTTTGTTTGCCGGTTTTATTTTAATCTTTCTTTGGAATCAATGTCTTGTTTGGAGATTTCAAATTGTGAAAATAACAATCCCCCCAGACTTTTATTTTTAAAGTTATTATTTTGAGGGATAAAAGTATTGTCATCAGCTACTGAGAGCTCAGATGTTCTGATATTTTCCACCTAGAACTAGTTGTGAGTCATATTTCAACTAGAAATAATAGATGTTTTGGGCTAGATTTATCGGCTTTCTCTTTAGTTACCTTAATAGTAGGTTCCTAAAAGCGGACCTTATAAAGATCCTTATCGGAAAACTGTACGTTAGTTTGCTTGCTGTTAGTCACAAAGACATTTTTATACACTATTGCTGACTTTTTCTTCTAAAAATATAGTTCGAAATCAGTTCATGGCATAAATAACATTGCATTGGACTCGCCAGTAAGAATGGTTCATCAAACAGCCTTGTTTCAGCCTAAAGTTTCTGAATTCACCTTTGACGGGTTCTTAAATTTTGAGCCGTTTTATTATTATTATTATTATTTTACATTTGCGTTGTCCACACTCACGGGTATCTGATTCTTATTTCAACTTATTAAAATATCAGGATAGCATGAGTTATTTCTTTAAGGCGACTGATCGCTAGTGTGCGGTTTGAAGTTAAACTCTAACGCTACTTTTTATAGTGCTGTTGCATTAGTTTTACCCGTTTCGTTTCTTGCCTAAGCTTTATTGTATAAACGTACTATTTTAAACAAACAAGTGAATTAGGAGGCAAGTCACTCACTCATTTATTTAACCTTCGACTTTGGAGACAGTGCGATAATTTAAGTGAAATTCTACTGATTAGAGACACATTCCTGGTACACAGGATATTCTGTACACAGTCAGAACCAGAACTTTGGGATTTAAAATTAGCCCCTTCGTCGTGACCATGAAAGTAAAAGCTGTTAAACATTTCCTACTCGACATACTCTTGTTATTGTGTAAAGGGGGATGTTCTAAGTTTTAAGTCGACTTTAGTCAGTTGAATCAGTGATTCTGAGATTCTATGAAATTTGATTTGAACTGTGAAGGAGACGAAGGGCTTGTCCGCCCGTTCTTATAAAATCTATTGCGGAGAATTATTCCTGTTTGCTCAGTGTTGTTTGTTGCGGTGTAAAAGGCGGTCTCAAGATTTAGTTTGTGGGAAAAACCCTTAAGTATTTATGAGCGTGAAATATGAATGAGCAGTAAGTTTTTTTTCTCTTTCTAATTGTTCAAACGTTTCCCATGTCAACGGTTCCTTTATTCAAGGGTAAACTAGGCCAAAATTGTTTCTTTATATTTCTATCGATTCAAAATTCTTTTTATTTTTATTGCAATATATTTAGGTCTGCTTAACCTGTAATTTACCTTAACATTTCTTCTTGAGCTTGCCGCCATGTTACAGAGCAAATTCATCACAGGTACTGCACAACTCTAAGTATATCAATTCTTCGGCACTGCTACATTACTTACAACTAAGGCTATAGATTTCTTGAATTATTAAGAGAAAACACTCAGTTTGGCTTTACTTGCTTGTGATTTTAACTGATGCTGCTCCACCTATCTATTTATTCATCAGAACTACAAAAGATTTCAAGTTGGTCTAAGTGGTACATGGTTTTCAAAATTCAGCGATAAAAGCATTCGTTGCGTTATCGCGATTTTTCTTTTTTAAATCGTTATCGCAATCTCTTTTAACTCGATTTTCCACTTGATATGTTTATTTAAAACATGTTTTACTCAGCTTTACAGATAGTAAATCTCATCAAATTGACTGTAATATTCAGTATTTTAACTTGAGGGGCACCGCTGTACTTTAAGTAGCCAATTCCTTTGATGTTATCCGCGCTTTCCATACACACCTGCTATTAATATTGTGAGTTGTTGACAGAAAGGTATGTTTTTTCTTAGTCACAGGAGAAATCGAAAAGTTGTTGAATTGTTTTTCCTTTCAAGAATATAAAGGTCATCAGTGTTTTTTGCCTTACTTGTTTTGTGATCGCCTCTTACTATCGAATTACATAGAGAGAGAAAAAAATTCCTCGGACGTAGTTCAAAAAGAATAAAAAAGCGTTTGAATTTTATCAACGTAGCATCTTAACTCAAATCAGATACCCTCTAGAGTCCTGAGGGCAATTTCTTTCCACAATTTAAAACCAAACAATCAGTAAAGGCCGAAGTCAACCTCAGCATATCTTTTATTTCAATTGGTGTGCCACACATATGAAAGAACAAATAGAGTAGGAAGTTAAAATTGTCTAACGGAAGAAGGTGGTTTGCACCCGCTCTAGAGAACAAGCAAATTGCAGAAATCAACCTGCCTTAAATCCAAAGCAGATTGTCTGATATAACTCCGGTGTTTACCGTTCAACCTCCTCCATTCTCGGACACTTCCACCCTTTGTCAGCCTACTCACACAGAGGCAGACGTTAAGTCGCCGGTAATGCAATTCAAACTTTGTAATAATTTTGTGCCGCGAAAAATCTCCTCATTACCACTTACTGATGTCTCAGTATCTGAAAAAATTAAATAAGGGATTAACTTCAATTTTTATTTTGGTCGCAGCAGGAAAGTCACACTTGTGAAATGATGCTATAATTTTGTTTTGAACCACACATACATGTAGGTAATTAGTCATGTTTGACTGATGCAAAGTTTGATTTCTTTATCATTTAAATTACACTACACTAGTACCATATAACTGCGTTTCACTTTTTAGGTTTGGCTTCATAATGTCTCAGGCTGCTGTTGTGGACAGGGTTTTATTTTGCCAAGTTTTCGTTCGAATTTGTACGGGTTATCCGCCATGTTTGATTGCTTGCCGGCTCACATGCTGTAACCACCCCCTGATGGGAGAAAGAACTAAGTAAAGGAATATTTTGGAAACTATTAACTATCATTAAACGAGACGCCTAGATAATTATCATAAGCCGTTAAATGCAAACCCAATTATATCCCGCTGCTTCGCACTTAAATCTTCTACCTCTGAAATACGGACTGCTGCAGCTTTAGATGGTGCAAAACACCTAATTGGTCTGATGTCTTTAGCTTCTCCTTCTTCAGACGGCGCGAAATGTTCGTCGTTATTACAAGTGCGACAAGCTGTTGTAAAAACAATTAGATCGGCCAAGAGTTATTTTCTTGTGTTCATAATGGAGAAAAAGCAACACACACGTAATATCTCGCTAGACAATCGTGCAAAGATGATCAGCAATTTAAAGGAGGCGGTCACTAGGGCCCTTTGTCGGCACGGCGTATAAACTCTAATTTAGGTTTGTTTATCGACCGTGTCTAAGGAGGTTCAAAGAACATAAAGAAAGACCTCTCTAGGGACTTGCTGAATTAAAATTGCCATATCATCAAAGGCAAGAACAAACAAAAACAGTGATTATCTTGAGTAAAAAGGCAAAAAGCCCTCAAGTTTTTTTCCGAGAAGGGTGCTGCACTTATTCTTGTGGTTTGCTTTGTGTGCGAAGGGTTTTCCGGTTGGGAAAAATTTCATTTTATATAGATATGTATTTATCCTTCACTCTCAAAGCGACTTTTTTTCATTAATAAATACAGCAAGCATCAATCAGAAACTTTTCCATAGCCTTGGGCGAATTAGGAAACATGATCGTTTTACACCACGCGGAGTTGTTTATGCCATGTTTAGAAGAGAATTAAACTCTATTTTACAGGCGTAAAAAAGCCTTTCTATCTCGGTGGAAACTCACGATGGGCGGCCGTGGCTGGCGCCAAATTAAAGCTGATAGTAGAAACGCAAGGGCAAGTTGCATGCTTATAGAACTGAACGCGCTGTAGCCTCTATTACCGGCTCAGGGACAAAAAGCTTGACTTCAATTATCTGAATCGACACCCCGACGGCGGCTCGGAATAGAACCGTCCACGCTCTAATGAAGATTAAAGGTTGAAGAATGCTTTTTGTTCAACTTAAAAGAATAAAAGGCCATCACCTAGCTCTTGCTTAAGCTTTAAAGGAGCCAATTTGAAACACTTGAAGATGGGTGTGAAAAAGCACTTGATTTAAGTTGATAAGGTTTACAAATAAAACACTTCCCCTTGAATCAATTTTCCTGCTTTCACACTTTTCTGCCTAAAGATTGCTTGATGTCAGGCTTAACACAATTTTCATAACTGCACGATTTTGAAATAATAAGGAAAAAGAACGTTACTAAATTAAAGTCTTAACGAGTACTTGTTTTCGAGATTGTTAGATTTTGTTCCAGCAAGAGAGGAAAAGCTTTATCCTCTCTTGGTTCCAGACATCTCAAAATGACAGCAAAGGTTTTCAAGTACATAAGATTTTTAGAGAATGCGTCAGTTTTGTTTGAGATTGCTTGCTTAATCGACCTGGAAAACTGAATGATCATTATTCTTAAAATTCATACTAGAAATATAGCTCTTGTCCGTTGTAGTACTCTATTCAAAACCGATGCAGTGATTGCGATTACGGTCAGAGAAATGACAGTATCCTTTGTTAGCAGAAGAAAGCTCGTCATCTATATCTTTAGAAAATGATTTCAAGTACATTATAATAATATTTATAAAGTTCGGCTGTAGCTGACGCTTCAGTGCAAAATTTCATTTCAGCACAGTTTCTTTTAGACATCACTAAACATCACCGTGCACTTCTTCTTCATCTGGTAGTAAAGCCGTTACTTCTAGTTTAGATATACTTAGTTGTCACCGGAATAGGCTAGTATTCCAATAAGGATAACACTTCGAAAATACAAGCTATTTAATCGAGTGTTTGTAAACCTTTGTGCAATTGAAGGGATTTTGACAACAATGCAGTGTCACTGAAATGGTTTATCTGTAGACAGTAGAAGTAACTATTTACCGCAGGAAGCCATTACAATCCCAATCAGTTTTCGTGCTAGATAGGTAACCCATCTCAGTATCCCGTAGAGAAAACCATTGTAGTGCTCCCCAGGAACCTGGTGTTTGCCGAAAACTTTAGTATTATCTTTATATTGATATAGTTGCTTAATTCGCACTTCATAAAGGCAAATTTTTCAGATAACAATTTAAAAATATTTTATCTTAGTAAACTCACAAACGGACAACCTCGCATCAGTTCATCAGTACTCTTTAATTTAGTTTGGAAAGATTTAGCTCTGCCTCATGAATTTCTCGAGTGTTATGTACAGTTCAATAGCAATATTCCGAACTCTTGTTAAAACTGTATCTTTGTTCAATTAAATAACTTCAAACTTACAAACTTAAATACACTTGGACAAATCTTGAAATATAGTCATATTCTCTATAGCATATCATTGAATCCTCTGCGAAATGAGTCATTTTCTCTCATTATTTTGTACACTAGTTTAAAGTTCATAAGATTTTCTTGTTATCGGAAATGCTCTACAATGTGCGGGCTTGAAGTCCTCATGGTCTTTTAACCGAACAGGCACCATATGCGTATCTCTCACTGAAAATATTTCGAACTTGGAAATCTTATACCTCTCTGTGTCTCACCGACGTCAAACATTATATACAGCGTAACCGTGATTGAGTACCTTATTCATTGGTCTCCACACAAAGTTTTTAATGCAAGCTCAAAACGTCCTGCCGTAGGAAGATAATCATAGTTTAAGAGAGCATTTTACTTTTAAGTGTGTCGCTTCCGTTGCCACTGCAATGGCAATCTACAAACCCTTGATACTCTCGCCATTTTCAGACAAGTCTCTAGATCGTTCACTTTCACTGGCGCTCATAATCTTTCCTTCGTCTTTGTCTTCCTTCTCTGAGTCTCCCTTCTTTACCGTGTCATTGTTGTGCGTTTTAACGTGCTTGGCCAGGTGATCACTTCGCATGAACCGCTTGTTGCAGATGGGGCAAGCGAATCGTTTCTCTCCCGTGTGCGTCCGTAGATGTCGCTGCAGTTCGTCAGAGCGTGTAAAGCGCTTGCCGCAAAACAACCAGTTACATACAAATGGACGTTCACCGGTGTGCCATCGTAGATGTGCTTTCAAGTGCGAAGTTTTACCGTACACTTTGCCACAGCCAGGAATGTGACAAATGTGTTGGGTTTTTTTCCTAAAAGGGGCCCCGGACGCGCTTAGTCTCTCGTTGTCTTGGCAGTTTGGACAGTCACAAGTTGCTCGACCCGTATATCGTCGGGTTGCTCGCGCTGCCACGCTTTGCGTTGAAGACAACAAGCCTGGCGCTCCAGGGAAATAGGAAGGTCCATCTATGTACGTCGGTAGCGTAGCCTTCATGGGATCTGAGCCAAGGCACGGAGGGGGAAGAAAGTGAGGGTGACTCGCCACGGAAACCGCAGCGGGAATCGATAAACTTCCTGTGGTGTACTCATGCGGCAGTCCAGTGAAATGACTCAAAGATGGATGAAAAGTACTACCAGAAACGCTCGCTTCTAACCACGAAGGATTACCGTGGACTTCCCAAAACGTCTGCCGTGCCGTGGCCTGTGCGTGAGGCTCTAAAGACGGCTTAAACCACGGCGAGCTGTCGTACGGATGTGGCATTCGTGGATACATAGACGCTTCGACCGAAGCAGAGTGTACTCGGCTCGCTGAGGCTAAAGCTAATGGATCGGAGAGGGAGTTATGTCCGGTCGAATAACTCTGAGTTGGAAGAAAGCTCTCACTGTTTTGTCCACTTAAGGACTCGCTTGTGGGCAAAAAAGCTGACGGCATATTTGAATACAGTCCGCTGTCAGCTGGTCTTCCCCGTTGCAGAGGCAGTGTAGTCGGCTGTTTCCAGTGGTAGAAACTTTTGGCCATTGTGACGTCGGGAACAGGCGGTGGAGTTTGTTGGCCGATTCTGCTGCAAGTTGCTGCAAGCATCGCAAGAGGTGTCAGTCTGGTTTTTGTTGCGTTTCCCAGCTCCTGAAAAAAGTACAAAATCAAACGTGTACAGCGTAAAAGGATCGTGTTAGCGCGCGCGTTCATTAATCAGCTTAAGTTGATAATCAAATCACGCTAAATTCCTGTACAAATACAACGGGACAAACCTGGCGAGAAAGCCTCTTGCTCATGGGCTTAAGCTAGAGCTTATTCAAGGCTAGTTCGGCTGCTATTTGGTTCAACAAATTAAGATAAACTTTGCACGCCCCTTGACTATGTTGTAGACTGTTGATTCAATTCAACCAAAACCCTGAGTAGAGAACCTTTTGAGATGCCGCCACTCGTAAACACAGCCAATCAGAATGTCAGTAGTGTCTTTCATGACACAATGTGATTGAATGATAGGGATTTGTTGATATATAATAAGTCTCTCCAAATGGAACTATTATTCCGAACCAATCTATACCAACAAACACAAAAGCGTCTATCGCCTACAGGCGGGTGTTTGAGCGAGTTTTAAGGTCGATTAAAATGCTTCCACAATTGCACCTTGTTGAAAGGCTTTCAGCTAAGTTGAGGTTCAAGAAAAAAATCCCGAAAACAACACTGCGCGTTTTATGGAGTTTTGCTACTTCACACCTTTTGATTAGAATCGGAAACCATAATTGTTTCAATGGCAGATTTCTTCACAAGTTTCCGCGAGTTTGCCCGGCGCGCTATTTCCATTTTTTGTGAGGGCAAAGTGTTCCACAGATGGCAGAAATATTGCTATTTCAAACAGTGTTGATCTGAGGAAAAGCTTTCAAGACGTAAACACAACTTGTGGGTGGCACCTGAACATTCGGGGGCGTTCAAAAAATCACCGAGGGGGCGGTCTAGGGTTGTTCGGCAAATATGATGGCATAAAGACACAGCTCTTTACGACTACTGATCCGTATATTCACATTTACAATATGTCGGGCCTATGTGATGGCGCCGTCGGTTAACATCTGGCTTTAAATTTTTTATTTCTTTCTTTGGCTTCGCCTTCACCATTTCCTGTCCACTGTAACAAGTCTGCATACCTTAGTGGAAGTTTTGGTCGTTTTTAATTTCTCACTTTCTAATCGCATTCCGATTAACTCTAGAAGACGCGCTTAATCAGCATTTGTTTTGAGACGCGATTTTCAGGCGACGGGGATAATTAGTTTGTAACTAGCAAGGATGATAATTGCTATTTCAAAGAGTGTTTAGGTTCTTCCAAAATCTCAGTAAAAACGCTTGCCCAATCTCATTTCCTTGTCTGCGCTGATAACCAGCTAAATATTTGACTTGTTCTCCTAATTTTCAGCCGCGGGGTTTCTCCAAAGTTACAACTTTCTAATGCGTTCGAATAATAGAAAATGTCTGATCGCACTATGTGGTTGCTTTAAATCGGCCTTCCCGCTGAGTAATGTTTCACCAAAGACACAGTGCTTTGTGTGTTGTTGTAATAGCTATTCTCTGCCTTAACAAGTTTCACGGGAAATCAATCCTTTTACTTCCAGTAGAAATCAAAATTAAACAAAAATATTAAAATTTCATTTCCTTAAATACTGAAGACGTGAAGTTCTACTGAAGAGATGTTATTGGTTTATGGCCTGAAAAACACTCTAGTTTTTAACAGTCCAGCGTTAGAGATGTGAATGAGCAGAAATAGGGTCTAACCTAACTTAGCAATCGATAGTAGCGAGGTTTACGGAAGAAAAAAATTGACAACGCTCAGCTGAACGCTGAGGTTTGTTTCACTGTTCATGGTTTGTATATAATTATGTTTGTCATAATTTGGATCCATTTGTCAGGCTGTTGAACAGAAGATGTAGCCTTTAGGAGAATGCCTCGTTGACCTGACTTTAGGATTCCACGACGCATCAGTTGTTGCAAGCAAATATTTGTAAGCTAGGTTTTTCAAGGTTCGCTGGAAAGGTTTCTAAACAAAACACGTAAAGCGCATTGTAACCGTACCTCAAATCCTGTGATCAAAGGAGCCCGCCGCTGCTTGGAGTGTACAGTGATTTAGGAAAAAATGGAATGAGATTACGGGCGGTTTAGCACTTCACCTCCCTGTTCGGGCCCTTCGCAGTTTCAATGCTTGCCCTTTCGAGTTGTGTTTGCCTTTTGGCTTAGCTCTAGCAGTGGCCGTACACGCAAGGAAAATATTGAGTCATCAGGCGTGGTTTGTGAAATTATCGATGGCCTTAAAAACTGAGAGATTTAATTAGAGGCCTTTTGATGTGCCGCTTTTGATTGACGCAGCGTCTGTGTACAACGCACATCATCTTGTCCGCTCACAATAAATCACACCTACTATTAAACGTGCGATAAGGATTCCAGCTGCAGGCTTGTATTAAATCGAAAGGCTCATTGTTCTGGAGAACGAGCGGAGATTCACTAATAAAGGAATCGATTTGAAGGGTCAACTTGCCTTAGGCCCCGACTTCAAGTGTTAATTATAGGGAATGTTAAAAACTCTTCTAGCTGTGGTCATATTACCGGCTTGTTCAAATTTGAGTGCAAATTGCAATGGTACGCCCCCTCTTCACGATCGTTTGACAGTCAAAGAGATTAAACTACTGCACTCAAATCGATCCAAGGGCTTTTAACTGTGTATTTACCATTGCGTTTGCAAATCTCGCGCCGCGCGCGTGTTCTGTCTAAGCGTGCAGTTGGTTTCCATCGGCTGCAAGAAAACATTCGGTGGAGTTTTTATTGTTCTAAAAGCTTAGCTTGTCTGTCAAGGCCGATAAAGATCTGTTGCAAATTAAATTCGCTGGTTTGTGTGTTTAGCGATCCGCAGAGAATCATAAGACGGCAAACTTGAATCGCTCATTAGGTACAAGAAACGACATGCGCAGCTTAAAGACGGTTTTAACAAGATATCTTTAACTTTATAGAAAGGTAAACTATGTTATTTACATAACATTTTGTACGTGTTAATAGAGCTGTTTATACTACCATGTTTGCATTTCGCACGCCGCCAAAAGCATTTTCGTTAATGGAATTAGGAAATACACCCTGACTTTTTCGTCCCATAAATGTAACGAAAACGAGTTTTGATTTCTTGTATCAAATAATAATAACGCTTGAAAAAGCCTGGGTAATGAGAACCGATTTTTATGTCAAGCGTTAATAGAAAGGATAGAGTGATTCCATTGTTTAGCGTCTGCTTTCACACTTATGATTTCAAAAGAAAGGGAGTTATTTTAACTAAAGCCCTAAAATTGAATTCAATCTTTCTAATCTACACTTGAGGTGTGCACATGAATTAAACATCGCTTTATTTTGCACGTGGACTTTTCAAACACGGATCGGCTAAATTTCAGTTGGCCAAACGTGAAACTCGTTGAACAATGGAGCTAATTAAATCAAGTACACCTCGCTTATGTTTATTTGCTTTTCTATTAACTACATCAAAGAGTTCATCTGGACTAACTGCCTAAAAATCACAACCCCCGCTGTGATCGTATACTTTTTATCCGGACTTGTTTTCCTTAATTATTACTACAGTACAAATTTAGATATAACCGGAGTGTAAATTAAAAACGTGGGTATCATATCACGCGGACTTCTGCCCACAATATTTGAGTGCTCCAACAGAAATTTTGTTAAAAGTACTTGTTCAACTCGATTTCGTATATTAACCTAACTTTTTTTTAATCGGTCGGCCTCCAAAGAGAAGCTTTAAATTCTTTTCTGTGCGTTTCCCTCTTTTGTTGTTGATTTGAACAAGAGAAGCCCCGGTCACTTGTGCCAAACAGTTGCCAAGTGTCACATTTATCTTTGTCACTGAATTGTGGTAAGATAGTGTGTCGAGCTGGAGGGGTTAAGAACTAAACGAGCAGTGATTTGACACGAGAATTATAGAAGGTGGGGAGCGTTCTAAGGGAAGGAGTTCTGGAATAATATGGTCGTGTGTCCGTGGAAAACGGCTATGTTTAAAACTACTGACACAGACTCCTTTTCATAAATTAATTACTGTTTTCTTTGTTAGCTTCGCTACGGAGTTTGTGAAAAAAAAGCAAGAACAACAACAAAAAAATAGAAAGCTGATTGAATAATGCAAGCTGCCATGTATATATTTGTAATGTCGGGAAACTTGTGTAGAAAACTAGCAAATATATCCTAATCGTAATAACTGTTTTAGCGATTAATTAACCCGCTGGGCCTTGAAAATTTTTTTTGTTATATTTCTTCACTTGTATATTTTCATCTTCTCGAGCTGGAAAAGTTTGTGAAGTTAAACGTCCCGAACTCAAGAGAGGACCCTTTGACCTGGCGACCAAACTGCAGACATTAATCAACACTGATTCTACTGACTGCTTGCTCGCCGGTTATGACAATCTCTACCTCAGACAAAATGTTGGCGAAACAATTTTCCTTACTTCACGCCTCAGGCACACTATAGATTCTGATGAGTCGCTGGAACAGATTTATTTGGTAGCTTATAGCTGTAGCAGCCGTGATAAGGAATGCCGCCGGATTGAACAAGAACCAAAAATCATCGAATGTATCCATAAACTAACAAAAGTTACAAACTCTTACTGACAGGAAAAAGTAAAAATCATTCAAATAAAATTCAGGGCAATTCCTTTTACAAGATTAAAGCACCAATATCTTATTGTATCAAGCTAAGAATTTTTTTGAAGTTCTCTTTGCTATCAACTCCTTTGTTCATTCTAGACACCTGTCCTTCCGAAAAGTTCCTATTGTTCAAGAATTTGGGACCATGCCCCCGTAAAAGGCCTTTTTCCCACCCTTGCAACATATGGCCGCAGAGGGCGGATAAATGGATTGATTTTTTTAAGTACACATAGATTTAACACTGCCGTATGTTTACTAGCCTGGTACTCTGAGAACTCACCAGTATGAGTTTTGCTATTTTTTACCTGTTTCATCGCGGGTTGAGTGTTCAGAATACCGGTCACAGTTACGGAATGCCGCCCAACACACCCGAAAACCTTCCCTGTTATGCTACGGAGACTTTATATCGAATCATTCAATCCCCAGTGACGGACCTGTTATCTCTGTATTTGACATGCGTTCGACAGAGATTTTCCGGCTCTTGGCTTTTTTCAGAAAAATGTTTCGATGTTGCTCTTTGTCAAAAATCAGCTGCATCTTCTAATTTAGTGCTACCACAATATACTTGAATAATTCTGAAATTGGGGCGTACATGGATGAGATGAAAGCCAATTAAGGGATCAAGTCTGTACTTTGTTCATAAAAGCACTAGGAATTACAGCCCTTTAGCTCAAGTGCCGCTAAAAAAGTTTACTTGACAGCTTTTCTCTCTTAATAGTTATGGATTTCGTTAAGTTAATTTAGGGCATAGTTTTTATTTTTGTCTTTGGATAAAGACAAACCGAGGTCCTATTAGCTTGTGTCCCACCTGTGTTAAAAGAATAATAAGTAGATCTGAAGAACTGACTGTCTTTCAAAACATTCGCTTCGAAGAACAAACAAATCCCAAATGTGCGAAAACAAAGTTTGGAAAGTAAAGTAGAAAAAGGTCCATTTGAAAAGTTGTTTACAGTATTGATGTTTAAGGCAAACGAATGGAAATAACTACATGACCCAGTTTACATATTTTATTAACTGTAGTGATGATGATTGTCATCTCATTTTTATGAACTGAAAATGTTTTTTAGGGTACAACTGTTTATATCGTGTAAACGCAAGTAAAAAAGTTCCGGCCGTATTTTGTTGGTGTTGTAAGAGGCTTTTCGTTAAATAGCGATTTTTTCCTAAATGTGCAAGTATTTCGTCAATGATGTAGAAAGCCACTATACTTGAAGTTACTAAGAGCCCCGCTATCTTTCAAATTCAACACTGGCTGCTTTCTAGAACCACAGCGTACGCAGTCGCTTTCTTTATTTGGGCAAGTTCTTTGTTCATGGAACGTGCGCTTAGTACTAGAACATGGCCTGATTTTCTTTCGACCTCTCAAGACAAATAATTAATTAAAATAAGTTCAGTGAACTATTTACGGCTTTTTTCAGTTGCGAGTTACTGGAGAAGCCGGCGACGGGATGTGAAGTGTAATAACACACTGAAATAAAATACCACATGTAGAGCTATAAATGTGATGCTTTTAAGGAAGGGAAAAATAGCTATCAGATATGGTGGCTGTTTAGAAAATTCGAGTGAAAACAGGTGTCTTCATTGGCACGCAAATTTTATCTTACTAGAATTTATCCCTTACAAGAACGAGTGCAACTGAAATTTTAACTTTTTTTTCAAATTCTCTCCATAATTTTGGTTAAATTCATTTCTTGCCTGAAACTGGCAAGAACAGAGACATTCAAGTTAAAGCAATGATTGCTCTTGAAGTTAAGTGTTTTCCAATCTCTCAGTTTAAAATGTCAATGACACGTAAAAACTTCTAACTGCCGATTATATTAGTCTCCAACTTTCTATGTTTATGTTTCAAAAATTACTGAATAATGGAAAAAAAGAAGCACTTTCCGAGCGAAAGTTCTAGTATCATTTAGTGCTCTTAATACTTTGTTTGGTACTAGCTCTCACCCTGCGTCCGCGAATTTTGTGAATTCGCTTTTTTATTTTTCGCAAGTTTTTGTTTATTTGCTGCAAGTTTCTTTTCCTGGAAGGAGAATTGCTTAAGAATTTTTTAATAGAACTGCAAATATTTTTTTAAGATGGGCAAATAGAATTGGTTTAGTCGACGTGTTTTTGGAAAAATCATTGTTCGAACAACACTAGCGAATTAGCGAAGCGCGAAGTCATGTAAAGTCGCGAATTATGGGAACAAATTTTGGGTTTTCATACTATCGCTGTGACTATTTAAAAAAGCTTTAACTCTGAAACTCGAAAATTCTAGTTACATTTGAGTAAGTTATATAATCGGAAATTTTGGAGCTACAAGTTAATGATGTTTGAACACAAGAAGGTGTTTTAGAACTTAACAGGTAAAATATCGGACTCCATAAGAAACCAGTGCATTGGGAGATAATGAATTAATCTTGGATGGACCCAAAAGGCTTTTGTGTCAAACAGTCCTTAAGAAGACAATAAACTATTAACCGCCAGGGTCCCGGCAAAAAATTATAAAGTGCAAGTAGTAAACAGAGTGCATCTCCAACCGGAAAAAATTATCATTCGTCGCTAGTTTGCAGAAATTCTACCCGATAAATGAGGCTTCTTAATTCAACCGGTTTTGTAAAAGCCTCTTTTAACGGTGCGCGTTGTGGTGATTCTCTTGTAACAATTCTCGATATAAAATTGCGATCACCGAGATCATTAGGGGGAGTTGGTTCTTCAAATGACGCTTGTTTTTAGAAAAACACTAGGGGAGGGACACATCAAACAAGAGGCTCTCGCTGGGCAATAACCCGGTTCGTCCCAGAACAGGACGATAATAAGATTATCCGTATTTACCTTTCAGAATCGTCTGCTCTCCTGGATATATCAGTCGCCCTTGCTGGGTTTGGAGGAGGCGTAAAGTGGTCGTTGTTGTCAAAAAGTCTGCTGGTTCATACTGGCATTTCTCCTCTTAGATTAATGGATACATTTGACCTGTCCCTGACTAGCCACGCCTCCTCCTCCCATACCTGCTTGTCAGTCAACTATCGATAATCGAAACACACGAAAGCGGTGAGCGTGCAAAATAAAGTAATGTAATACCCTTAGCAGGTTCTTTGTTTCAAGTCACATCGTGAAAGATCTGTGCTAAGTAACAGAGAGCTAAATCCCCGTTCCTGCCTCAACTTAACTAAATTATCTTTTCTACTTTTCAGTTAACAGAAATGAAGGGGTCACTTTTCTCACTTTATGATTACATCATTTAGCAGGGTGTTTAAATATTGACTAGCAGGCCAGCATATGTCAAGTATTGCGGGTTTTGGGTGTGTACATTTAGCCGTACACTGGTCTTAGGTTTTTGCGTATGAGTGAGTTTGAGGCAAGTCCACATTCTTGTGTTTTTGTATTCATTAGGCTTTGGTTAATTTTGAGTATATCCATTGCCAGGCTCCTTCAAATAGGTTGAAGACTCAGCCACCAGGTGCTGACTGATGCATCTTCCGAAGTGTTTTATTTTATGTTTAAAATGTTACACTGAAAATGGGTATATTCTGCCCAATCTTATGGTTCATTGGAAACGGCTAAAAACGTGAGCGTTCCTTCCAAACTTCGCTTTCCCACATCTAAACATTAAACGAAATTCAGTCTCCTTATGTTCAATCGTAGCTGAAGTAATCTGAAAGAATTTCAACTTATTTTTATTTCTCAAGCATACGCAGCCACTAGATGGTCTGTGTTTTCGTACGCATCGTTCACTTCCAAGTGAAACACTTCGATTATTTAGTTAACGAATCACTTGGCCATCGGTTGACGCCTCCTTGAGGCACGTGAGAGCCGTTAGAAATCGTTGCTGTGTTTGATAACGCCCTAAAAAGAGTGGGAAAGCCTCTTCAGTCAGTTAATAAATGCTGTTTTACCTGTCGTATAACGAAACCGAAACCTCCTCCGTTTGGGAAACCTTCACCTCTTTGTCGTTGTTTTTTTTCTTATTTTGTTTGTATCTTTGTTTGTTTTTCATCTGTAGTTACGATCCGTTGTTCTAGATCCCTCAAATCGAGTAGTCGTGTTCTTTAGAAGCCATCGTCTCGGGAACACTAGTGCTGTGCAGTAAACAGTATGCCAACTCTGAATATCACCTTATCATTTTTTTTCTTTAGAATTTCATGTAAATCTATTCGTTTAAAATTATTCCAAATTTAAGCTTAGCTCTCAAGGTTTTCTTATTGGCATGGTGATAAATTGCCTAAAAGGCAGCTGATTAATGAAAACCTTTGCCAGCCATATTAGTGTGAGTTTATCGAAACATTAGACCAAGAAACTTCCTTACAAAGTGAAAGTTTTGACATTCCGTGACGCTCTTGAGCGCTACATGTTACGTAGAGAGCAAAGAAGACTAGGGATGAATCCAACTACCTCTTAATCTGAAACATAAACCTGCCTGCTTGTGCTTGAATGTTATCAATCTTGTGTCATGAACGTTTATGGAATATTTACTGTATAGTTAGAAGCTACCTCCTATCCAAACACATTTTTGTCACTTTTAGACTCATAACCTCAGCCAAGCTTCAATTTCTCGTTATATTTCTGTGAGGGAACCTGTTCCTTTTTTTTTTGTAGTTCAGGTTTAAGTGATTCTTACTGAGCACTGCGACATTTGGTCACTTTGGAGTGACTGTTATATACAAAATTTGAGCCGATCAGTTTTTACTGTATTGGACGCATCCCTCAACGCCCCAAACTTTCACTAATGTGATTGGTATCCAGTCTGAACCTGAGCCGCACAGGTTAGGTCAGTAAGCTACACTAAGCTGATCGAATAGCTGCCAAGGAGGCAAGTCAGCTATCAAAACATATTTTGCTTTTTAGCCCTTTTTGAACAAGCCACAGTTGAAGAGAAAATATGATAGATGAAAGGATTGCGCGGATACTTAAGTTACACAAAAGCCTCTTATGGTTTAATATTTGCTTTGGTTCGTTTTATATATTATCAATCTTCCACAAACTTACATTGCCGTTTCAATCCAGCAAACATATTTTTGAAACATAATTAGTTGACTTATTGAGAGCTGAGTTCGAAAGCTATTTATTCTCCATTTGAAAGTAAAACCGGAGCCCTTGCGGGTATGTTCATATAAGATGGTGGAATCGTATTTAAAAGCAGATGACTTTTCCTGCTATTTTTTCGCGACAACTGATTCCTATTGTAAGTATCGTTTTTTCTTTTTTAATTATTGGGACATAACAGACTAAGCACCGGCAATAAATGACCCAAAACCTCTACTGAAAAAGCTGAATTAATTAACACCAAAAATAATAGAATAAGTCTGGACCCAAGTTCTAAAAAAGGGGGAAATGTTGTTTTTAATGTTTTTCCTTTTCCCCCTTTCTGACTACCAGGTTAATATGACCGTCTAGTTAATATACTGAGCGGGTCACTGTTTGGAGAGAGACTTGCATTCTAATCAATTTATCGAATTTCAGGGTGTCATTTAAGCCAAGGTAACTAACGAATCAGTTGAAACGGATAAATGTGTACGACCATTCCGGCGAAATGTTTAAGCACCATGCACTTTTCTGCGCTGTGCTGTTGTTACGTCGTGCAGGGACTTGATTTTTATATGGGTGAGTTTGGTGAAACTTTCAGGTGGAATTGTTCATCCTTGACTCTTTCCTGTATGTTACTCGGTTTCCTAAGTGTTCCACAAATTATATACTTCTCATTTTCATTTTTTGAGGAACAGATTAAAGACATAGCCTTGATCATTTTAAATGGCCCCTAATTGGAATGTTGACTTCCATCTATATCACAACGAATCAATTACTATTGGGCTTCTGTTTACCAAACAAAAGTTCTATATAAAGTCCAAATAGAAGTCGTCGCTACGACGGGAGGCTGAATTCTCTAAAAGCGATCTAAATTTACCAATTCGATTTCAAATTTTCTTCTCAAATAGAAAGTGGTATGATCAGAATTGATTCTTTTTTTTTCTGGAAGTAAGATGGCTTAATTAATCATTTCTCTAATTTGTTAGATAATAGTAAGCACTGGAAGAGCAATATTCCAGGACAATCCGCTTGTTGAAATGATAAATAGGTGACATTGCTAAATACTGCGGCCATTCACAGCGTCTCGTTAGCAAGAAAGATAAATTGCCTTCATTTTCTTTTATGGCTGAAGTAAAACACTTATCTCGAGAGCTTCGAGAAGGAGGCATGCACAAGATAGATCTCGTAGATGTGATTTTTCATACTACATGGCAGTAAATAGTAAACCACAATTAATATATTGTAGCAGGATTATTCCTTCTTAAAAATGTAGCATTTTGCTCCTATCAGCAGTGGAGCGCAAGTTGAAAAAAACGTTGAATATAAGCACGGCAAATAACCAAAAACATTACCATGTCAGTTGGCCCAATGTTGGCCCGGTGCCTGCAGACTATTAGCTTGGAACTTAAAGGTCAAAGTTGTCGAGTTGAAGACTTAATTCATTTTATTAAATTTAGAATTTTTGCTCCGTACGTTAATTTAACACCATACTGAAAAAAAATCTGGAGATAAACTTACCGCACGAAAAATTGAGTTGTTAAGGAGCAACCAATTTGCATGAATTTTATCTGTAAAGGCAGATGTTTTTTGAGTGCAGGCCATGTGGTTTTTTGTTTGTTCAGTGTAAGTGGGCCATTTTTAAAACAGTGCGTCGATGCCCAGTCATTCTGTTTCTCCCTGTAAATTGTCTAAGCCATGGTTAAATAATTAATGGTTACCGGAGAGAGAAGTCCAAAAATATCAATTAACGGTCTTGTGAAAAAATTGAACCTCCAAGCAATTACCTGTATCTGCAGCTCCCCCAGAGAAGAAGGAGTAAATAAAAAAGGTTCTTATTATAGATTGCTTTGACAAATCCAGATAATGTTATGAATAAAATATATTCGTCGATTTAGATGAGTATCTTTGCTTTAGACATTATATATGCTTTATAATTGTTGTAAACTTCTCTTAAAAGGAAGGCAGTTGGCTTGCAATACCTAAGGGCTCAGGTCGGACAGTATTCTCTTTACATGAAAGTGGGGATAAAATGCCCCTTGCTGCAACGCTCGTAGTCAGCTCGTAGGATATAGATAAAAAGTCTCTTAACACAGTATCGAAATACAAATGAGTGTAAAACATGAAGGAATTTATATCAATTTCTCGAACAACATTTCTTCGCAAGACATTTTCCCTCAAGGAAACTGTTTTAAAAGGCCTCACTTTCACTCACGTCAAATATGGATTTTAAGCTCGCCGTTGAACAACTTTCCTTGTTACGAGTGTGAGAATAAGTGTAAGTTGAAAACATGTGAAATAGGCGGCGTTCATCCTCGAAATCCATCAAATAGATCAAAACTGTTGTAACTCAAGAGACTAAACCCTTTCAAGCTTTTTTATCTTCTAAGGTCTTAGGTCGTTTTGCTTCTGTTGGAGCTCGAAATATTTAAGACACCAATGATTATGATTGCTATGACTTCAAGGATTTTAAAGAATTTTTTATTTTGGGCGGGGTCGGTTGAGAGTAAATGCAAAGAGATGATGAGCGTCTTAGTGTAGTTTGGAATAAATGACTCCTTGAGAAGGTTTCCGCTTCTCATCCTGTAGCAAACGAGCGGCAGGAAACCATAGCAGATAGCAGTGGATCCCATGACCTTGTTTGCAATTCTATGTTGCTGAAAACCTTCAGATATCCTGAACCTGCCGCCCTTTAAAACATGCGCTCCTCCTTGGGGAAACGCCTCCTTCTCTTATGTAAACACTTTTTTTCGTTCTTACAAATTTGCATAGATGCTGGCCACAAAGACAAAATGTATCGATTGAGACACGGACACAAGGTGCAGTCCGGTTGTATGAAAGAACGTCGTCCCATTCAATTTCTGAAGTGCAGTATCGTGCTTTTCAAAAACGCCCAAATTTCTATGCACCGTTGGCCTTATTCAGTGATGCCAATTTACCAGCACAATACCTATTCTGTCTGGCGGTTTCTTGGTTGCGGACTATCGCTTCATGTTCTTGTTTTGTCACAGAGTTTGAATCAAGCAATAAATTACATGGAAACCAACAAATAATGTAGCCATCTTTATTCATAAGGGTACATGTAAAGCCATCGCGTGATGTTCGCAATCGGATACAAGCTGACCGGCTTTAAACGAGTGAACGCTTTCATTTATTCACGAATAGTTCTCATATCATAGGTATGACTGACTTTAATTGTCCTCAACAATATCAAGCTGTTTTCAGATAAAATCTTTCTGCAAGGCGCGTTTATGCAATGTTGACGGGTCGGTGCGAATTCAGTTTAAAGCCGAACGGAGCATTCTAACTGAAGAGTTTCAAATTAAAAGGGGGCATATAAAGCATGGAAATCGCAAGACAGAAGAAAGAAGGTGATTCGTTTTTTGTGTGTGTTTGTGTTGTTGTTTTATTTTTGCAGAGAAAAGTACAATCTAGTTTCGTGGCCCTTTCAAACCTTACCATACCAAATATTAACCAATTTATAAACCTAGTATTTGACATTAAACAACCAATGATTTGACAGATCTTTGCTCGTTTCAGCACCGAAATGTTATATACTGCAAATTCTTTCGATTCCTGAGATGAGATTTTAAATGCAAACTTTACGATGGGCAAGTATTAATACTTACAATGTCTTTGGGCGAATTGACTCAATCCGTGATAACTGTTGACCAAAACTTATAGTTATAAACTCTCGTTAACTCGAACCAAACGCAGGTTCCTCGTTCTCACTTTGTAAAGTACCTTTGCTATGTTGTTGCTGTTGTTTATTTTGTCGTTTAATGTCCATTTAAATGCTGATTTTCTATTTTCAGCCCTCTCCTGTTATTTCGGTGCATTTAGAACTGATTATATGTCTTCGTAACTTCGGCAGTAGAAATAGGTGTTCTTCACTGGTAGGCGGCACTTTGGCGGAATTTTTTAGTCATTTTCAAGAAACAAAGTGGCAACGTCTTGGCTATGCAAACTTCAGTCGATCTAGGATTGTCGAGTAGTTGTGATTGTAATGTTGGATGTTGTATTCTCGCCATTTCAACCACTATCAAGCTTGCGAAATATAGCATTTTATTATGTCCGTCGTGTTTCAGTGTTAGAGCCAAGCTTACCTCGCGATGCCGCGTGATCACATGTCTAAATTCCCGGCGGAATATTGCGAATTTTGGGTACCAGAAACCTGCAAATGAAGCGGTCTCTCGATTAAATTGATCTCTACTGAGTTAATGTGACTTTCCAGTTAATGACGGCTGAAAATATTATCCTAATATTAGCGTTATATAGTTTGCTTATTTAAGAAGGGCATCAGCATCATTTTTTGACATGCTACCCGCACGTACGTATGTAGCAAAAATTGTTCTTAGTTTTGATGTAGTTTGGATTTAGTATTTTAATGTCTTTTTCATAGGAAAAGTAATTATAACTGGACAAGACCTGTTCAACCATCACGGCTTTCTTCTTAGTTTTAGGTTTTGTAAAGAACCAAATATTTAAACGACGTTAAATTATAGTTGACAAAACCCTAAGAGAAGACTTAGAATGTATACTTCGGCTCTTAGTTTCGACTGTCGTTGAATTGTAAGTTAAGTTCAAGATTTCACATGCTGCATGCATTCAACAACTGTCAGTAAATTTTGTTAACTTCCGAAAGACACATACATAGCTCCAGTTTAAGCGGTTTTTAAACTGCTGTAAAAAACTCAATTAAGTTACTTTTGAATACCTTCCTTTTTCGTGGGTTAGGCAAGGAAAGTACGATTTTTAACATGTTTTACACACTACAAGCGAAGTACTCTTGACTAATTCTTAGACAAGTCTAACATTACTATACTATTCATCAGTGTTCAGCACTTTTTTCGTAACAGCATAGTTAAAAAGAAAGACGTCTTACTGGCTATTCAAGCGTGGTATGCAATTAAGTGATATTGTGTTCTGCAAAGCATTGTATTGAGCGATGGATGTTCAGCTCCGTGTTGCGAATACCAGAGAAATATGCCCATCTATAAAATGGTGTTTTCAACCAAAACTGTAGTGTTTGATACTTACCTCGCGAGGACTAGAAAAAAGTCAACAATTAACACGCCAAACGACACAAATATACCCGGGTTACAAGGAGCATTGCTCTCATGTTCGGCGAAGGGATTTATATCTTACTTGCCTTTTTCAATATGTAGGCACAGGCACGTTCCCAGTCTACCTGGGTGAGTGTTTTGCGCGAGTAATGATTTTTTCTTGCTCGTGTTGCAACTCTAAAAAAGGGAGCGCTTTTGTCCTCTCTTTGGAGAATATCAGTCGTTGATTTCTCGCGCTTGTTGTTAGTTCAAATTGGATATTTTTGTTGTTGTTGTTGTTTTTTGGAAATGAAGAAAATTAATTCGTCATGAACGCCAGTTTTATAAAGAAAGAATCGCAAAAACTGCCCCAAACGAATGTGTAAACACAGCTTGTGAAGCTGATTTGAACTATGCGGCATTCACGTCAATTAGTAAATGCTATTTTCGCTTAAAAGTAACCGTTGACGTAGGTAAAATGCCGACGTATGAACTCTAATATGCCGGTGTCTTACGTGGTAACTTTTAAGGGATCTGAAACTGAGCTACTTTTTTTTTGAAACTTTTTTTTGAAACTGAGCTACTTCTTATGTCCCACATATGGAATATCACGAAAAATCAGATTTTTTAAACCCTCACACTGCATTCACAGGAATCAAAAAAAGTTGGAATCTTAAGCCAGAATACATAAACTGTGTTGTTTGTAGCTTATACGAACATATACGAAATAAGGAATTAATGAACATTCGTTACCACCTTTTACTGAGGTTGTATTTGCCCATCCTCGTGAGAGCCAAACATTTCAACACGTACATGTAATATCGAGTTAATTACAGGCAAAACTCCTTTTCAGTCAGACTCTCAAATAAGACCTCAAATAATATGTAACGCATCGTTCTCAGGTCTGAATCTTGCCTGTGGCACTACTTTTATCACAGCTGGTTTTTCTATGAATGACTTCAAGTAAACATTATACAGAAAGCCTGCTTATTTCAGCTGGTGACTTTAGTCAATATTGCAATGTTCTTAAGCATAATATTGATAAAGTAGTGATTGAGTAGATAGTGCTGAGGAGAGCTAATGTGGGGCATTATCATCTGCTAACGTCAAAATCAGTCAGTATTATTCGCGTCTTACCCCTGAAACACCTTCACCGGTTCTAGCTTCCTTGCGAAATGTCAAAGAAAAGCTCAGACCGATCGCAAATTATTCCCCTAAATTCTAATTATTCCCCTAAAGGAAGAAGAAACTCTGAAGTGCAAGGGAATCGTCTGGTCAACAAGAATGGCAAACTTCATCTACGATCCTCCAACATCCCTCAGAAGCGAGAGCGATTCTTGGCCGATTTCTTCACATCTTTCATTGACGCAAAATGGCGTTGGGTGTTCGCGTTATATGCAGTGGGTTTTCTTTTCAGTTGGTCGTTTTTTGGTACCGTTTACTTTCTCATATTCTGGTTCAGGCGAAAATATGACAACGGTGTAGTTTGCGTAGAAAAGGTGGACTCTTGGACATCTGCTTTCTTGTTCTCAGTGGAGTCACAAACGACAATTGGATACGGTGGAAGACAGGTCGGTAATAAACAACAACAATAACAACTTTTTAAAACTATTTATCAACTTTCACCTGTTTTATTTTTCACATGGTGAATGGGTAAGGAAGCTACTGATAGGTAAGGGTTTAAGTTAGGTTTTGTCCCCATTTTCCATTTTCCCGTTCCCCGTGATCGTTAGTTGTTTTCTGTTTAAGTAACAACCAACGTTTTGAGTCTCGAGCCACGTGTATGTAACACACAACACACATCATGAAATAACCCACAATTATCACCTAACTAAGTCATCGGTGTGAACGCTGGTTAAACTGACCTTATCGAGCAGCGCTGTTTCGCATCAGACCAAGAACCCAAGAAAGAAAAAAAAAGCGTGTAACATGCTAAAAAAACTGAGTATGAAAATAAACAGAATAACAGAGTAACATTGGATTTGTTCTATTAGCTTACTTCCACAAAAATGAAAACAAAGTACAATTATATATGCGATTTACTATTAAATTGATGGCAAGTAAACTGAATCACCTCATTTTTATGGGGGGATGCTTCAATATTAATATTTGCGTGATGTCAGTTGTTTGCGGTATTTTGTAAGTCTTTTCAAGATTAGACTTTGATAAAACCACTTAACACCATAGCCAGAAAAATGCCGATAGAAGATAGTATGGTTCTGCACAGGTATCATGTTTTGAAGATAACTAGTCGTAATTGCAAAGCAAAGCCGACGCTTTAACGGGTTACTCAAATCTTCACAATGTGCTTTATACACAGTGCTGAGCAAAGAATTGTGAAACATGCTGTAGAAAGCCAACTTGATAAGTAAGCGATATCGTTAGAAATATCGCTGAAGTTTTGACGGAATCCATTAGGAAATTGAGTAATTTTAATTTTCAATGGTATCGCATTCTTTTTTAAACTTTTCGAGGGCTATAAATGAAATAAGTTATATGAAATAACTCCAAGAAAAGGTTCTTATGGGAGCCCGAGAAAACAAACTTCGAAAACTTCATATTTCACAAAATGAAATCTTACGCATGACGATTTTACCTGTGTTTTCTCAAGTTCTTTGAAATTTGAAATTTACTTTCTCGGGCTCTTATAAGAACCTTTTCTTTGGAGTTATTTCATGTAACTTATTACATTTTTAGCCCTTGAAAAGTGTAAAAATGAATGCGATAAAAGGTTTTTGTCCACTGACAATTTAAATCACTCAATTTGTTGATGGAGTCCGGTCTCAAAGCTCTATATTGATGGGGTGAAGAATGATCAGCTTTATCCTCTTAAAATAAGCTAACATTGTTTTAAGTACGTTAATATGATGCTGTGGGTGAGTGCAGTTCTGAAAAGAAATGTTGACTGTTCTGATTCCACCAATTTATCGAACCAAGATCATGTTAGATTACAGAAACAGAGGGAAACAAAAAAGGGATATTGACTTTCTTTATCATGGCGGTTATTATTGCTTTGCATAGAGCTAAAACACATATCAGTAATGACGACGTCATTATCTTATTGTTTGACCAATAATTACTTGTAACGTTAATTGCTTTATAAAGAGCATGAATTTATTCTTGTATTGAACAAATTGACCACAATTTCCTATTGTCTAAAATCAGATCCTATAGTATCAGAAATGACGTCATAAAATTAATGCTCAAAGTTCAAGTCATTTCACTGCACCATTCAACATTATATAGCGCTACCGAGGTTTGAATAGATAAGCTGTTGTGTATGTTGATTTGTAGTGTTTCGGTCATTTGCCTCTTGGGTAATAATAATTTTTTTCCTTTTTCTTTTTTCTTTTAAAATATAGATTACCCCAGAATGCCCCGAGGCAATTGTGTTTCTACTACTGCAGTCCCTGGTGGGTTTCATGCTGTCCACGTCGCTTCTAGGCCTCATTTTTGCCAAACTTTCCCGTCCTCGTCCCAGGGCCCAAACGGTAGTTTTCTCGAAAAATGCCGTTATTGCTCCTTCTGATGGATTTTTCTCTCTAATGTTTCGTGTCGGTGATGCGCGTAAAAGTCAGTTACTAGAAATTACGATATCACTGCATTGTTTCCGATTTCACACTACCGAGTCGGGTCAGGAGATTCTACTCTCCCAGCAGGAACTACCCATCAGCACTGAACATGGTATCGAGACCGGCGAGCGAATTTCTCCATTTCTTTTGTTACCTTTGACAATAGTTCATGCCATAGATAATCGCAGTCCGCTCTACCAACTTGGAGCTCAAGACCTCGCGTCTTCCCGCTTGGAAATAGTGGCTGTTTTGGAGGGCGTTGTCGAAAACACAGGCATGGTAACTCAGGCCAGAGCTTCATACTTGGGGGAAGAAATTGTCTGGGGCGAAAAGTTCCATCCCATTCAATTTATACGTACCAACAATGAGCGAAGAATGAAAGCTGATCTATCTTCGTTTGACAACACGTACCGAGTCACAATGCCAGCTCTGTCTGCCAAGGAATACGAGGAGTCGAAGGACAAAGGGGTAGAATACGTCGAGTTTGAACATCCTGAAAAAGAAGACAGAAAAGAACAAACAAACTGCATCTGCGAATGTCAAGTTTGGATTCCAACGGAGCAAGCTTCAGATCTATCCACATAGCCTTGAAACATCCGTTAGTAATAATGACGGCAAAGTTCTTTGAAACGTTTGTAATTAACACACACATTCAAGAAGTCTTGTTTGTAACAGCGAAACAAGTAGTAAGAAGTTAAAATGAATTTTTTTCCCAAGGCCCTGGACAGTATAGGTTAAAAAAATCTATAGAAGTCGACGACTAATTCGCTATTACTTCCAGGAAAAGTCTAGACGGAAAAAGTTGACGCTAAAGTGCTCTTCAGTGCGCGCGCGCTCTCCAGAAGTCCCAGAATGAAGGGATGAATACCTGTTGTCTTATTCGAACTTGTGGTTTAACTTAGACAAACAGAATACAACCTCATCCCCAGAGCTTTTCCCCAACAAAATGGGTGGTTTCCCGTTTCTCCCATTTTCTAAGGGGAAAGCCCTGGGAACGAGGTTAAAATCGAATAGAAATCTTTATCACGTTTTTCTCATGGAGATAATGAAATTGGGCATGTTTCGCATTTTGATTCAGTCATAATTACATGCACGTTCCTGAGCTTTTTTCCGCTTTTGAGTCGCACTCACTACGAAGGGTCCTTTGGGCAATTGCTTTGGTTACTTTTTTCAACTTCGCCGAAGTAACAAAGTACAAAATCGAACTGGAAATATATTACAATATTACGCAAATGCGCATAAGTACAGGCAGGGACACCTTAAAACCAAACACTGGTCAGCTCTGCAGGTTAGTGCAGGCCTAGAACACAGAAAACAAAAATGACAAGAAGTCTCAAAACAACAATTGAGCTTTTTCTACACAGAGGTTGAGAAAAGTCAGCAGGAAAAAACGAAACCAATTTTGCTGCAGGGAACTTGCCCCATGCTCTACTAGACAAAAGAGCAATTAAACTTCGCCAGAGCTCGCCGACACTTCAAAGGTGTTTTGTAAAGATATCAAATTGGCAACAATCTTTCAACTCGACAAGGGAAAAATATTCTTCAGACAAAAAAATTAGTAGTGCATCAAACCTTTCGAAATCCATCCGGATAGTGTTGCCTATCACGCAAGACAGTCTGCGACTGTGGCCATTAGTATTAAGGGACGACTCACAATAAAACCCAAGTTATTTTTTTGTACTTTCAATAATTATTTTTTACACAAATATGTACATAACAGGAGCCCATATAGTCATTACATTTGTAACGTACAAGTATCATTGCTTTTCTGTTTATACTGCAACTATTTCCAGCCATTTGGCAGCTCTTGCCTGTACAGTAAAGTTTAGCCAAATAAAAATTCCTCTGGTTTTTCAGTTGAAGTACATGTTTATGTACCGCGGATCAGGAGGCGTGGAAGAAAATTACGCACGTTCATCGTGATTCCCCGTACACCTTGGTTTACTTTAACTTTGTCATGTAAGAAAAGGGGTAAGAAAGGAGGAAGCAGGCGTGTGGGATGGGAGAAAAACCAAAGACGTCCTCTCTTACCTTTTGCTCCGCCCTTAACAATCGTTTACTAGTACCAGTCTCTCGCACTTTGCGTGTTGAACATCCCGTAACTTCTGTAATCTTCTGACGTCTTAGAGTGTTGCCTTGGGTGTGACTCATCCACTTAGTGTAGTCCACTTAATTCATAGTTGGTTTCTGCGATCATGACTAGGATCACTGGTGTCTACTTCTTCGGATAGCTGGAAATTTGGGGTGTTGATGGACGTTTTGTTCTCATATGTGTTAATGGACTTAATTTGGGCAATAAAGTCACTCTACTCCTATCTACCCATATTTGAAGGAGACGTTGAAATTGGTTAGTCTAAAGTAAGCGGCGAGACAGGATGTTTTTAGGGATTGTACTTCGAGATCCGCCGTCTGCGATGAAAACACTGAAGGCAACTTCGAGAAAAATAAAATAGACTTCAATAGAATTCCGAAATTTATTTACTATTCTATGAACCAAACTATTATTATTTATATTACAGTATTTTAACCAAAGTCTGCCCTCTTTTCTTAGGTCAAACCACTAAACCATTTTACAAATATTCATTTGGATTCATGAAATTCCTAGCCGCACTTGTGTAAAAGCTGTTTATTTACTAGAGAAATTTTTTGTCATCACCAACGCTTAACAAATGCGGGTATTAGTGATGGTTTGTCGCTATTTTTAAGAAGTTTTGTCTCAGACGGGACAATCTTCAAAGGTCCCTAACCCTAAAGCCATTATTCTTTCCATTAAGTAATGATAGATGCGACTGCCTGTTAAGAGTGAACAGTTTCCAGCGCGAATAAATTTTTTCAACACAAAAATTGTCACCATGCAATTTTTGGTTTAGATTTTTCAAAAACAATTTCAAATTTGTCTGCTAGTGCGGATTGGCCCTACTGAACCAGAGGCTAGGGATACTCTCTCGTCAACACTGGTTTCTATCGTTTATTAAGACTTGGAACACAAATGAAAATGCACCAGAAAAAGAGCAGGGATTTTTAGAATGTACATTATGTTTTTTTTTGCTTAACAGCAATCCTAACTCAACTGAAATGTGCAAGTTAGTACCCGAGCCGCGCTTATCAAAAAATTTTAGTCCACAGGAGACGTTCTTTTTTCAAATTTAGAACCTAAATAATAACAACCTTAATTTATTTCAAGTACACGGGGACTGTCAAACTACACTAAAACGTATCTGTAGAAAGAAACACAAATCTGTAGTCTCCTTATCACTTTACTGTCTTTTCTCGCTCTAGGGGAGCCTTGGGCATTAATTTTGAGCCTCAAGGGTGGGAGGGGGCGCTCATTCGTGCATTAACATTGATAATGTCCTCGATACACTGCAGAATGGCTGCTTTTTTTCGCTCTACAAGTGCGATCCCATTCAGACGCGATGATATCCTACTACCTCGGGTGAAAGAATTAATGTAGAGTCAATTCTGATCAATGCGTGTAATTTGCAGAGTGAATTGGCATTGCTTTCAAGTCATGCAGTGTTGTCCATACGAATTCCAATTCTTCGCTTTCCAGAAACCGTTTTTCAGGTCAGTCATCATCTTCCGAAAGATCCTCGTCAAAAGCATATCTTCTGTATCCTTCATCTAAAAAACAACATTGTTCAGCCCTTTTAGCCGAGTCTTTGAACAAGTTAACTTTACATCCGAAGAGACTAGATGACGATGATGATGATGAAGATAATAAACGTGATGACAATGATGATTATTAGCAATATATTTCCTCCCTAATAGCTTTGAAAAAGATTGAGTTTTGCTGCTTACCAGAATCAAAGCCATAATCTTCATAAAATCTTCTCTCTTGTGACGAGTCTGACAGACCTTCGTTCTCATCAGGGTAATCATTTCGCCAGTTACTTTCATCTGCAACAAAGAATAATTCCAAAACAATTCTTAGAGATTCAATGAAGCCACACTGTTAGAGTCAACCAATCTATACTCAAGACTTGATAGTTTGACCTAAGTTTAAGTTCTGTTTGAAAAGAGACATCACTGTTTACATGCATTGTTTTTGTTATTAAAATTTGTAACAAGTGAAACAATAGAATCTTTTGTTTTAAGAACCAATGCGCTTCTGGTTGGCACATCACCCCTATCACTAGGTGACGTCAGCGTGAGTATCACTTTTGTAAGTTATAGATGTTCGTTCAGCCCACACTTATTTTACTCACTCGAATGTACCAGCGAGAATGAATTAAAGGAAAGGTCTGAGAATCGAGAAACAACAGCACAAACAAATACAGCTTTTAAATATTCCTGACATTAAACTCCATTTACCAACCATTAGAGTCATCTTCGTCATCATAAATTTCATCAAAATCTTCTTGAAGAGCTTCATGAACAAGGTCTGGATCAAAAGGCAAAACCTCAACACTACAAGATAAAGTAAATATGATACGTAAAAAGAATAATACAAAATAGGCTTCCTGTTTTACGACCATGAATGAACAACAGAGACACCTAAACTGAAAGACGAGATTTGCTACGTACAGGCGTGGAAATCAATCAGTTCAGACCAATTCGCTTTTTGCACATCTCTATAAATTCACCTTGTTATGTTTGCCCCCCCCCCCCCCACCCACACCTAAATCTTGTATAACCTTATTTTTTTCTGCATGGCCAGAGTGTTCAAAGATGGGTCAAGGTAACCCAGGGTTAGTGCAAAATATGAATTCAGATATGAAAGCTTAATGAAACGTAAGTTGAATTCATTCATTTCTTTATTTATTTATAAACTTCGCCAAGAGGCCTGGATCGCTCACAGAACAAGCTCCACTACGAGGACCAGAACAAAAAAAAGAAAATTAGCAATACAACTAACAAGAATTACAATACTTTAGAAACAGAAATGCAAAAACAGAATTGGGGAGGACATCGATAAAAAATTAACAACACATACGATCGAGCAAGCCGTTCAATGGCCCACTAAATTCATTTATTTGTTCTTTGATGCTCTAAAAGAATAGAGAAATTTGTCCAAGAAAAAGTTTTGACCAAAAGAAAACAAAACTCTGATTAATATTTGACCCCAAGGTTTAGCACTGATCATCAGCCTTCAATCAAGTGGGTCAGCTGGTACCTGGGGGTACTACAGTCGTGTCCCAAAAGACAATAGCTCATACAAAATTTTGGGGGCAAACAAGATGTATTGTGGGAGATATGCAAATACAGAACTGACTGTAAAACTATATTCAGCTCATCACTTACATATCACCAAGCCTTCCATAATTATCACTTGGGTAATAAAAGTCATAAACATATCCCTCCTTCTCCAATGCTTTCTCTTCTGTTTTAGATTCTGAAAAAAGAACAATATAAGAAAGATGCTGATGAATCAACCCATCTCACCCAGGGGACCCACCATAAAATATTGGGGAAGGTATTCTTCTCAAGGATAAAGAGAGTGACTGACAAATTAAAAAACCTACCTTCAGACACTGTTAACTTTTCACGGATCATCTTAACAGAGTTGCAAAGGATCGCATTTACATCCTCTGACTGCTGCCTTTTTCTTTCTTTTCTTTCTTCTCTCTTTTCTCTGCTGGTTTGAAGCATGACACATAATATTAAGGTGAGAAGTGGTGACACTGGGAGGAATAATTGCTTTCCTTATTCTAAGTATGTGAAATAACCAAATCCTTTTTCGAACTCCTTGAAAATTCTTAACAAACTCGACCCAGTAAAGCAAGGAAAAATGGGTGATCAACAAAAGAAAGCGTTGTGACTGTTGAATAGATTTTGTATAATTTTGCAAATATTTTTTGCTTTTTCATGCCATGTGAAATGTGTTGTGATGTTGTGATTTACACTTTCTGCCATAATGCTTACGTTGACATATAAAAGATGACATTGTAACATGCAAGATGTGCTGCAAGAACTTAGTGGCTCTTTCAATATTCAAAAGTGTTATTTTGATAGCTTAATCAGAGAATGATGACAAGCATATGATAAAAAGAGGCAAAAAATGTAAACAAAGATTTCCTAAAGGGCGTATAAAGCCTTTTTACGAGTTTTCAAAACTTTCTTAACCTGTCACGTGATTCATCATCTTTCACCAAATCGTAAACACTCAACAGTCTCTGAACCTCAAGATCCACATCATCTTCAACACCAAGTTCCTCACACTGATCAACACTGGAAATATCAGATTCTTGACACATCCCACTGGTACCAACTAAATGGCTGCAAAAAACAAAATTAACTAAATGAGTGTGAATGGAATAACACTGTCTAGCTCGGGAAACAATTATAATTTTCCAACAGCAATCAAACCCGTGAACGGAATGAAGCTGGTCAGAACACTATGCTTTCAGGAAGGTCATGGGTTCAGGAAATGCAGAATTCTTCTTTTCCAAGTAAGACCATGATATTTTGTTAGCTTGTAAATGAGCAAAGGTAATAACATCATATCTATGTCTCTAAATCCATGAGCAGGCAAGGTGAAGTGAATCTTGCATTCTGATTGGCAACCCAAACAGGCAAGATGGGCCAATCTTGCCTGCTTGGGATTTACCATGTTATTCCCCCAAGTAAACGTTCTCTTTTTGGCCATTAATAAATCCTTTATTAATCAAGCTTGTTAGATCAAGGTGAATAATAGCCTTGTTCTTTTTTGCATTTTTCTTGACCTCAGCTTCATCTCTGTCAATAAAAACACAAAAAAGAACTTGGCCAATATCCAGTCATCTTGATCTCATGCTTGGTCTATAACAAGGCAAAACAATTATCTGAAAATTTAATTTATTTGTCAAATAGTACATTAAGTCAAGGAGAGTTTGTTTTTGCTTCACTTAGTTAAAGAATTTAATCCCTGGTGATTAATTTTACATGAGGTTTTATTCCTTTCTTCTTTGAGAGGGTAATATCTAATGTAGTTCCCAAAACATTGCCTGAAAAGCTGGGTCGTGGTTTTAAAAGAAGAGCAGGGCAAATGAATTTTTGACATAACAAGGGTAGTAAATCATATCCCACCTGCATGTTAATGTATAACCTCATGGGCACTGTTTCTTGTTTGTAAAGAGCTTTACGAACAAGTGTTGTTTAACACAAGGCCACAGCTCAAAAAAAAACAACCTTGTACCAATGTTTGACATGGTGAATACAACTATATTTGTGCTACTTTTTGTAATAAAACACGACTCAAAATCAGTTGACATTGCTGTTTCTAGCATGACTTTAAGCAAATTATTTTTGAAATGCACCTTGAAAAAGTAACATAATTAACAAGGTTGGAACCATGGAAGGTTGAAAACAAATGATGAACTCTAAACTAAATTACAAAGGTATGGCAGATCATTAAATAACTGAAAAATGTAATGTAACCACACCTGGATGACTCCGCTTCATTCTCTCTGTGTGAAGAAATAACCTTAAATCTTGCTTCCTGATTTAAAAGCTAGGGGAAAAGAACATGGTTCTATCCATATATGTTGTTTGAATGTAAATGGACATTCAATTATTTAACAATGTAACATAAATTACTGCCTGATTGCTTAAACAACCAGCATTTGGTGCCAAGTGGATGTGAATAGGTTAAAGTGACGGGGAATGGTACATGTACAGTGTACAGTATGTAGTGGACAAATCAGCACCATGAATTATCCCAGGTTTTGTAGCACGATGTTAAACTTAGGGGTTAGCAGTCCTTGGAGAATTACTCAGAACAGTGTGAATATGTTAATGAAGTCAAATGCTTAGTGTATAGAACTGCATTTTTTTGTTTTTGTTACCATATACTCGTAAATATTATTCACTAAATAAATATTTCTCCAGTAATTTTGATTCACCTGGCTAAATCTTCATAACCAGGTAGCACTGATAAAATTTGAAAGATGTTTGCTAATATCAATGCATTGTTTTCACTCAGCTGTGCAAATTTGAACAAAAGAAAGTTTACAGGAGAAAAGAGTTCAATCCTGCCCAAGATTTTTAGGTTAACCTAGAAACTAGCACAGGGACCCCTTGCATCACTCATACCCCAGTTCAAAACAATATGGCTGGAAAACCATAGCCAATAATCTCAGAAAAGCAATTTACTGCCATGCAAACTTGGGCTGATAAAAACTATGATTAAAAGCAACTTGAGAGAAACAGCACACTCAGCTCAAGGGAAGAAGTATAGTGTACCTTTTTCTTTTGCCGCAGCCTTTCTTGTCTTGTTTGATGATCATGAATGTGAGATTTTGCTAGGTGTTCATGGCTTCCAGACTGTTTCTGAATCTTGATCTTAACAAAACAACAATAGAGAACCATAACTTTGACACATGAGAGAAACAGTCAACAATGGTCCACACTAACTGCTTAAATAATTCAAAAAAATATTTTTAAGTGATCTTTTACTCACCAGTAAGTCTTTCTTTTTGACAACATCTCCTTGAGGAACACTTCCAACAAACTTGAAAACTCGCTCAACTAAAAATTACATCAAGATATTTAAATGAGAAATAATTTCTTATCCCTCAAGTACATACTAATTATTAAAACATTAAAAAATGACAGTGAATTTCACAAATAAGTGGAGACTGTTAGACTGTTAGAGCATCCGACTAAATCACGGAGGGTCGTGGGTTCAAATCCCATCTGGGACTCGGATTTTTTTTCCGAGTCCTCCTCAAATTAATATCATGTTGTTGTTGTTTCATCTTTAATATACTGTATAAATTACCTGAAAAAGTAAGAATAAAATGGTCCGGAAACTTTTACAAGCGCATGAATAAGAGTTACCACAGTGCAGGTGTCTTCCTACTCTCTACTACACCAATCTCGTCCCCAGTCTATGTAGCAGGTTCCAGTTATTTTCTTACAGAAAGCCCTGGGGACGAGATTGTCACTGCACTCAAAATAGTAATATTATTTATTACTGATAACATGTGAAATAAACATTGATCAAAAGACCAAGTCTTATTGCCTCCTGGAAACCAGAGTATGCTTAATGATCACCAAGTAAACATCTGAAAAGTCTTGGACGATGCTTATATCTATCTACACAAGCAGTGTTTCACAGCCGTGCAGGATAGTCTAACTCCATTCTTCTCACCGGCTTTGCCAGCAGTGACATTGTATTGCTAGGTAAGTCAATTTAGTTGAGGGCCCCTAGCTTATCAGCTTCTGCTGCTATGCGATAACTTATTTTACTGATTCTTATATTGATATTAATAATTATTTTTGAGCATTATTGTAAATATATATCTGTAATTTTTAGGTTAGTTAGTTTAGTTGGAGGGCCACTGGTTTATCAGCTTCTGCTGTTATGTGTTTACCCTTTATTAAAGTTGATTGATTGATTGGCAGCTCCACCGCAATCATGTCATTGGCAAGGGAAATGCACATAAACTGTATTGAGAGTAAAAGGTGTAAAGCTAAAGGAAATGAGCTGATACTGCCAACATACTCCTGCAAACCCCAGACAGTGAGACTGAAACCAACAGCCGCTAATGGTTTGGTATTTTCACCTGTTTGTAACTCGTTTCAGGTGGTAACCAAATCAACATACATTTCTTCAAATGAGGCTACCGTGAAAGATGTTAATCTTGAATAATTTGAAAAGTAGAGTTTATTTGATTTTACTTATGAAATCCAGTCCTGATAAATAAAGGTCATTCTCACAGAAATAATGAGAGGTACACATTAAGTATTATGACTGTTCATCCATGCACACCCCAGCAAAGTGCCTCAATTCAAGTGCAAATGTTTCAATTGAACTCTGTGCACCTAGGAATGCAGCTTTATTGTATTTGTACTTGTCAACCAAAACTGTTAGACTTTTTTCAGCACGTCAACACTTTCAATTCAACTGCACCACATACAGCTTTGGTATACCTAATGACCAACCGATTTGTCAGTATTTCTACTGAAATCCAGACACCAACGGTCAAAGACCATGCAGGTCTGGAAAGATAATGACAAGAAACACAGATTCTCAAGACCATCAGAGCCACCAGCTCACGTTATTTTAAAGACTATAGACACTTACTATTAGATACCTTGAAGTGATAGCGACATTTGCAGTCATTGGTTAAGTGACATGGTATTAAAAAGGGTGCTGCACCGCTACTCCCCTTGGAGGGCCTTGACATAATCAAAATAAATCGAGCTTGAACCAACACTAAGGTTCAGTTAAGTTCGGTAACTGGACACAAATAAACTCTCACAAAAAAACTTTGTAATGGAACCTACTTGAACTTTGATTGACTTTGATCAGGATCAATTATCAGAGTTGGCATACATTTGATTTCACTAAAATTGGGATATTATACAGGTGACTGGTCATTTCACCAATCAGTCGTTTCCCTAACGTCCTGTTCGCTTGACACCTTAAGTCATTTTGCTAGCATGTTAGGTCAAACAAAACTTGGTGCTTGACTTGCCCAGTTTGTTCAGACTCTTGAAATCCACAAAGTATCAGCTCAAGTATCAGATTAGGGGAATAACAACAACAAAAAATTACTGTTGAAAATTAGCTTTGTTTCATTTTATTATAATGCCCTACCGGTTGTTACATAACTTTGTGGTAATTTGACTACCTTGGAGGGGCTTATATTCAGAGGGGCTTATGTACAGAGGCAAATTTGCATTTCAAAATCGATTGGGCTAGCTTGTAGTGGGAAGGAAATTTACCATTTTTGCTTTGTTTTACTTTGTATTCGAGGGCAAATTCCAAGTACAAGCCCCCCGGGGGGCTTATATTCGGAGGGGCGATTTAACAGAGGGTTTTTTGCGTTACGATTTTGGGGGGCTTATGTTTGGAGGGGCTTATACATGGAGGGGCTTATTTTTGGAATTTTACGGTAAACAATATTAGACGAGGCTCATTATAAGATTAACAGTGCTGGATCATGGATTATCTTTTAGTTAAACTACAGTCAATCTATTCTTTGTTTCAGCTGATTGTTTATTGATTCTCTGCTGATTTTGTTGCTGTTTTCCTGATTCTTTGCAAGCAAAAAGGACTCTACAAAATCTTTGAGTTCAAAAATCAAATCTGTAACGCAAATTTCTGGTTTTATTGTGTTCGATTACCAAATTTAATCGAACCGTACCATTCAGTAAGTTCAATAAAGTTTAATAATTACCCAACATTTTGAGAGATTACATTGAGAGTAGTACATCAACTCTCCACTAAAGACTACTGCGTAGGAACATTTATAAATGTATGTAGAAAGTGGTTATTTCTTGCTCACATCAATGTACCTATATATGTATCTAAGAAACTCACTAGTTGGGTTATGTTTACTGTTATCCACTTCTTCATTGTCCTTGTCTCTACCTTCTCCCTTTTCAATGTGTGGTTTCTTAAAAACTTGAGCAACAACTGCAACAAGCAAGAGTGATTCATTAGATAAATAAATAATAAATAAATAAATAAATAATGATTTGGAGGTAGCACATCCACAAAGTGGTTCTTTGTCTACCTGATTCCTGGTCGAATTGGAATTTGGAAATGTTGGTTTTTGAGGAGAGGGGAAAACCGGAGTACCCGGAGAAAAACCTCTCGGAGTAAAGGAGAGAACCAACAACAAACTCAACCCACATATGGTGTCGACGCTAGGATTTGAACCTGGACCACATTGGTGGGAGGCGAGCGCTCTCACCAAACTGAACTGCACCCTCTATTTCAAGTAAAATCTTTGGCATGGTGAGCTATTATGGGGGACGCGGTGTTAGAGGATTTTCATGGAAAAGACTGTGCCTTTGTGGCCAATAAATTGGTTACGAGGAAAGGGCTTAAACAAGCTTTGTGCCGTATTTGAAGTATTTAAATTTTAAAATTTTTAACATTGGATTAAGGCTTTGAATGTATGAACGTATTTTATTGTTGTGCTTACAATCAAATACAATACCTATACTGGCGATTCAATACAACAACATAAAATAAAATAAAATAAAAAGCTCAGGTCAACTACTTTGACCTACTGCAAGTATGTTAATTAATAAGGTGAGCGACGATGATGCATGTCAATGAAATGGTCATGATGTAGTAATCTCAATAGGTGAGATCTTTTTTTATAGAACGCTTTTTATGTTCGTTGCATGACAAAGAAAAGCTGAGCATTCAGTGACCTTGTAGCAGCGATTTCCTCCGCTTTGCACGAGACTTTTGTTTGTAGTAAATACACTAACAGTGTTTCTCAGTTTTTGTTATATTCTTAAAGATTTTGTTCGACAACTGAAGGCGTTTCCGCCGTCCTTCTGTCATTTTTGTGCCTGTGAAATGTCCCCGGGGTGGGGGCATTTGATCACCTGAATGGACCCTAGTGTGGGGCACTTGAATGGCATTTTGGCCCGGGTAGGGGGGAATCTGAACAGTAATTTTCAAAAAACGCAAATGCCCGGGCGGTTGCCGGGGGGGGGGGGAGTTGAAGCTTCGATTTGACCGGTACATTACATGCATGTATGTAATAAGGCCAAGCAGTGGGAACGAACCTGATAAAACTAGTTGTTGGGTTGTTCGTTAAAAGGCTTCAAGAGCTGAGCTCAGAATGATACGAATATAGTTTGACTTGATCTCTGCATCTGTTATTTAAGCTTAAATTTGACAACTGCGAGAGCAACTTTTTCTAATCTTAGTAAGCACCGAACCAAAAGATACATACTTTGGAAAAAGAAGTTGTTCTTCTCACTTAGAAAAAAGAACATGGGAGGTTATATGGAGTAAACACGAGAAAACTTCATTACTTACGTAGTGCATCCAATGGGTCCTCTGTTCTCTTACGTTTTATCCTCAGCACAACCGAGCGATTTTCGTCCGCCATTTTGAACTCACATCTCTCCAAGGTTGATGGGAAGGTTCGACCTAGAGATGACCGCTGGACGAGGGTAACTCCGGGCGACTCCAGGTCTTAAATTACAGTTAAACCTAGCTGTGTATAAAAGTGGGAGGGGGACAAGGCAGGGTTGTCATTAAGAGCCGGGGACCGGGGATTTTCCCTGGCTACTAAGAGAGTGGCCCCCAGCTACTTTTATTGGAAAATAGAAGAAAAATAGAACCACAAGAAATGCCTAGCCGTTTGATTCCCCGCCTACTTGTTGTATTTACCCGGCAACTTGAAATCTTAGTGACAACCCTGCAAGGGACGGGGACATCGGGACGCGACCGCATAACTTGTGTTATCTTTTGTTCTTCTATTGGGACTTGGGATTTAGAAAAATTTGGGACGCGAGACGAGGGACTTGAGGACATCAAGTTGTATGGGACGTGACAACCCTGCAAGGGACGGGGACGTCAAATACAGGGGTCAAGCGCAGGGGTCAAATACAGGGGTGCAGGGGACGCGGGATGTGCATAATTATTGCAAAAGTCGGAGGTAAATGCGATATCTCCGTGTTATTTATGGTCAACATTAGATTCCATCTTCCAAAACCAAATTGGACACCTTATGATGCTTACACAAAATATTTCTTTATAATTTTAAATTCACTTGGAATCGAATGCTGTTACTCTACATAAATCTTGGCGACCGCAACCCACCCTACCCTGCTTTGGCCTCCAATATTCCTTCAGCAAGAAGTCCAGGACAACGGTTTCACTTTCTTCAATGCAGGGGTCCTCGCCGAGTCTTCGCTTCGTAACCAGGCATGGAGGAACCCTAAGGAGGGCAGGGTGGGTTGCCTTCACCAAAGTGACTGATATCGCATTTACCTCCGACTTTTGCAACAATTATTCATGTCCCGCGTCCCCTGCGTCCCTGTATTTGACGTCCCCGCGTCCCATACTTGATGTCCTCAAGTCCCTCGTCTCGCGTCCTCAAGTCCCAGGTCCCCACACACGCGTCCCGATGTCCCCATCCCCTTGTCCTCGTCCCACTTTTATACACAGCCGTTAAACCTCCATTGAGCGACTACCTATTAAGCGAACACCCGATTGTGGATTAGTTCTGCTGCCCCCTTGCTGCTAAAGAGTATGCTATTATGACTGACCCGGTTAATGACGAACCTCTACTGAGCGGCCACTTAACTGCACCCATAGGATGGCCACTTAATGGAGGTTCAACTGTATATTTTCACCAATTCCACCTACTTATGACATGACTCTAACCATGTTTTATCAACTTATTCTAACTTATTCTACTTCCAGGAGCGAAGCGTGAGATTTGCAAGGTATACCCACAGAAAGAAAAAAAAGAAAAGAGGGGCCAGTCTGGGGCATACTCCTCCCGAAAACTTTTGAATTTAAGGTTCCGACCAATTCCCATTTCCTGCATTTTCCGAAGGACAGTTACTGTAAATACAAGGGAGAAGGTTATGAGGGGGAAGTAGTATTTTCTTCGTTTTTCACCTTACCATAATTCGACCATAATAACACAAAGACTCAAATACAAATAATGCTCTCAGGAAATGAAGAAAAAACCAGATTTCAGCTGCACGCACGGGCTTTTATGCATATACTACGCTCCAACAGGGGTCTTTTTTGCATGAGCATGCGCAACCGCTGACTTGTCAAAGAGCACGCGACCAGCGACAGCGACAGTGCTGCAAAGTCATAGGAACCAAATTGTTCACTTTGAAAGCTTGCTTGAGATTGAAATGGTAGCAGGAACTTAGGAAAGACCTTCATTGTGCAAAATAAGTAAAGATCTGTTAATTTAAAGTGGAGACTGATGCGCTGAACAAGGTGAAAGAGCAAGTTTCTCAAGGATGTCTGACACCAACATGGCTGCTTGTTGTTGTTTGGCGCTCGACTCGTGTCTTGATTCCCCTTTAAGAACCTCAAAGTTTGGCATAGAATGCATTGCTGATGCGTAGCTACTGAGCAAAATATTCTTTATTTATTGTTTGTCTATAAATCGGATGTAAATCAGTTTCTCGATGCCGTAGAGGATTTCTGTCAATTATTTGTTAATAGCTGATTTAGCCATATTTCGGGAGTGGATTAATAACGATCAGCGGGCGACTACCACGCCGTTTTCAGTTGGAATAGAAAGTTTTTCCCTTAAGTATTTTAACGATACAAAGTTTGTTTATAAGAAAATTGTAGAACTTCTTGTTTTTGCGTGAACTAACATTGTAACGCATCTTTTGCAGGAATTTGCTTTTAGCCAGAACTTAAATGTTCTAATGATTTTTAACTTTTGGTCGGCATCACATGTTTACTGTACTTCTTGGGAAACCTAACCGTTTGTTTCATCAAAATCGGTCACAAGATTGGACTTTAATTTCGGTCCTATTGAATGCAGTTTTGACTGTGTCTCATTGATATTCATTTTTTTTTATTTTTCGAGACATACAGAGTGACTACCACCAACATCTCACCAGGTGACTAATCTACGTCTCGTGTGCTCTTAATTTTGTAGCTTTAAAGTGCTGGGAAAATTGTAGAACATATATTAATTCATTGGTGAACTGAACATCGGCTTTCGCACACTTCGAACCCACTCGCTGAATTTTGTTTTTTTTTTAATATTTCTCTTCCTTTCCGATTTCAAAACAAAGAAAATTGAAAGTGTTTACTTGCATCAACAAACGTTTGGGCCGCCTGGTGATGGAAGGACATCATTAAGTCCGGAAACCCGCAAGTCAACAGCATCCCTCGAAGAACTGAGGGATGTTCTGAGCCTTGTAAAGCACAACAGCGCTGTTTGAGCGCTCGTAGTGAAGGTTGTGCATCAAGTTCAGATCGATCCAGGCGGCAAGTCTAAAGCAGGTTTCTTGTCGAGAACTATGTCAGCGTGAGTTTTGCGGCCTGCCCTTGCCTGCTGGCTCGACGTAGTTGCCGAGAAGCGACCTGCTTTTAGAAAAATATTCGGTGGCTCATGAATAATTCATGAGGTGACAAAAGGCCGTATTTCGCGGCTTGCCGTCAGCCGCTGCGTGACAGCAAGCCCGAGGCAAGTAGGACAGGAAGGAGAAAGCCTCGTTTGACCCGATTTTTGGGACTCGCTTGGCCCAGGAAAGCGTCGATTTAATTTGAGCGAGCTGGCCAACAAAGTGACCATCGATCTTAGGAAAACTAGAAGTGCAGGCACGCGCGATCTTCTGTTGACTTAGAGAGTTGTTGTAGCGTTTGCGACGATGAAAGGATTGTAGAAGTCAAGTCGGACAGTGCTTTACTTAGAGCGAAGGGCGCTGACAGGGAAAAACCGGGAAAAGTGTAGCGGCCGCCATGTTTTTTTTTCGCCGTTCCGGACCCGGACTGGACTCTGGGCCGGATACGTGGGATCGACGGCCAAAAGGCTGTCACAGAAGTAGTTTTCCCAACTAACCCTTGACCCTAACCGCAAGCAAACTTGACTCAAAGCTAACCCTATGACCGCGGGTTAGCCGCGGTTTGGTCGCGAGTCAGGGTCGCGGGTATTTTGCGACTATTTAACTGCAATGACAGGTGTTTTTTGCTATTGCGGGAGGCGCCCAAGCCAAAATTTCTACCTGGTTTAGTAAGCCCAATCAAAGTTTGATTTCAAAGGTTACCAAAAAAAGGGTCGGATTCAACCTGAAAATTTTTGTGTTTGCGCTCTTGAAACCTGTCCAAAACAGGGCTGAGCGGAATTCTGGACGTATTTTGCGACTATTTAACTGCAATGACAGGTGTTTTTTGCTATTGCGGGAGGCGCCCAAGCCAAAATGTCTACCTGGTTTAGTAAGCCCAATCAAAGTTTGATTTCAAAGGTTACCAAAAAAAGGGTCGGATTCAACCTGAAACTTTTTGTGTTTGCGCTCTTGAAAACTGTCCAAAACAGGGCTGAGCGGAATCCTGGACGTATTTTGCGACTATTTAACTGCAATGACAGGTGTTTTTTCATATGGCGGGAGGCGCCCAAGCCAAAATGTCTACCTGGTTTAGTAAGCCCAATCAAAGTTTGATTTCAAAGGTGACCAAAAAAAGGGTCGGATTAAACCTGAAAAGTTTTGTGTTTGCGCTCTTGAAAACTGTCCAAAACAGGGCTGAGCGGAATTCTGGACGTATTTTGGGACTATTTGACTGCAATGACAGGGGTTTTTTTCATATGGCGGGAGGCGCCCAAGCCAAAAAATGTCTACCTGGTTTAGTAAGCCCAATCAAAGTTTGATTTCAAAGGTGACCAAAAAAAAGGGTCGGATTCAACCTGAAAATTTTTGTGTTTGCGCTCTTGAAAACTGTCCAAAACAGGGCTGAGCGGAATTCTGGACGTATTTTGCGACTATTTAACTGCAATGACAGGTGTTTTTTTCATATGGCGGGAGGCGCCCAAGCCAAAATGTCTACCTGGGTTAGTAAGCCCAATCAAAGTTTGATTTCAAAAGTGACCAAAAAAAGGGTAGGATTCAAGCTGAAAATTTTTGTGTTTGCGCTCCTGAAAACTGTCCAAAACAGGGCTGAGCGGAATCCTGGACGTATTTTGCGACTATTTAACTGCAATGACACGTGTTTTTTCATATGGCGGGAGGCGCCCAAACCAAAATGTCTACCTGGTTTAGTAAGCCCAATCAGAGTTTGATTTCAAAGGTGACCAAAAAAAAGGTTCGGATTCAACCTGAACATTTTTGTGTTTGCGCTCTTGAAAACTGTCCAAAACAGGGCTGAGCGGAATCCTGGACGTATTTTGCGACTATTTAACTGCAATGACAGGTGTTTTTTCATATGGCGGGAGGCGCCCAAGCCAAAATGTCTACCTGGTTTAGTAAGCCCAATCAAAGTTTGATTTCAAAGGTGACCAAAAAAAGGGTCGGATTCAACCTGAAAATTTTTGTGTTTGCGCTCCTGAAAACTGTCCAAAACAGGGCTGAGCGGAATGCTGGACGTATTTTGCGACTATTTAACTGCAATGACAGGTGTTTT